CCTTTCTTGTCACTTCTTCCTTCCCTTTTCACGCCAGAATGCAAATTATTTCGCCTGTATTTAAAATGAGGAGTTAAGATTTTTAGATAAAGCGTGGTCTGCCTCTCGAGACCATGTTACTAAGTTGCTAGCTCAGATAAGATTTGTAGTCATCAGCCTTATATTATAACTTCCTGTATTGAATCTCCACGCCAGTTAAGATTTGCGGGCTAACCTCCCGTTAAATTGATCTGTGCAGCCTTTCGCTACTAGTTTATTTAAATTTAATTTTACAGTAGAACTTAATGAGTGTTATTTTAAGTTATCTCGCCAAAAGCGCTGGCTGAACTTGTAAGCACTAGCTGTGCCACCTTTCCTTCCTTAGTTTAAGATAAAGGGTCTTTTACACCCTTCTCAAGGCTCAGTTATTATTTTAGACTTAGCGATAATTTGCTTAACATCTGCCAAGAGATTGGACACTATTCGATGATTGTGTTACATAGAAAAAAATTTTTCCTCTTTCTACATAACAAATGGTGCCGTGACCTCGCGACCGGTAGACCACTGTATATAAATGTGTATTTTGAATTATGTACTGAATTTCTATTTTGTGTATGCTTATACGAATATTGTAAAATTACTTTTTCTACGTAACAATTGCAAAACATACCAAATTTTATAGGGTTACTTTGGGAAAAGGGAACGAGACCCAGTCGGCTAAATGCAAGTGGTAACGAATTATTATCTACCACATTTTAGTTTATACCTTTACAGAGCTATCAGGATTTTTTCGAAGCTCAAAACATGATAAATCAGCTATGCTCTGGCTAGGATTTGAATTCCAAATGACATTTTCCCATGCATGCTTTTTCGGGTTGCTTCCTCTGTCAAATCGCAATAAAGAACACTACAAAATACATTAATTCCTTTTTTATTATTACTGTAAATAACTGGAATATAATTTTACAATTAAGAATTAACAACTGCTTAAAATTTCCAAAACAATGGAAATATTTTTGCTTTAGTAACTTAAGTAATAATATATCAATTCAACCCAACATGATGCATTAATAGAATAAGCATCATAATTAAAAAAAAAAGTTCATTAAAAATATTTGGAACTTTTAAAATTAAAGCCAAAAATTAAATTTTTAAAATTATATTTGTTCTAATTTTTAGCAGGTTTTGGAACATGTGTAGGGCCCACAGGTAGCTGAGTGAGTAGTGAGTGAGCTCTCCAGAAAAATATATTAAACGGAAGAGAGCGTGGTATTGTACAAGTGAGTAGCTTTAATTTGACCGGGGTTCGAAGGCTAAACTGCCCTGTCCCCATTTTTTTTTATAATTAAATTTATGCCTCAGTGGGTTAGCCTGGTTTTATGGAATCCTGAGTAGTGGGTCCCAAAAAAGGGGTTGGAACTGATAGCTGGTGAAAGACGAGAAGGACTTTGCCTACACAATTATAAAAATACCTACAGCAAAGTTGTTCAAAAAGCCAAAGTTTCAAACGTGTGAAAGAATACAAATTTTATAACACATTTAGAGTACAGTACATGTAAAACATTGTTGCTAACTGAACAAAAAAGTCACTAAATACAATATTGCTAGATAAATGCGAAGAAACATATATAAATTAATATTTACATAAGAATTTGCACTTAATGAAACACAGGAGCCTTGATATATGCCAAATGTCATCACGAAGCCACAGGTTTTTACTTTCAAAATAATTTCAGATTTTTTCTGAACTCAAAGAATAACAAGGATAGGAAAGCTGGCTAAAAGCCTGTCCCTATCAAAAAAGGACGGTTAGCAACCCTAGGTATAAGTGACAAAACATCCAGTTAGTTTTATAAAATCTGTAATTTATATCCTGGTGAGGGCATAGCTGACTTTTTAAGATTTTTGTTTCAAAATTCGAACATTGTCTTAATGACACCCTTACTAAACTGCTATGGATGAACAATGCATCATCATCTATATTTTGTTGACTGGGTCTTGTGTCTTTTCTCAGTCACCCTTTAACCGAAAGAAGATTGTAACAAATGTTTCTGCTGTCTTGCTTCGAAAATTTAATGTCACTATAGCTGTAATCAACATTTTTTATAGTGTCTATCAGATATGAATTCTTCTTTGAGAAGAATATTGCAATTATCAGTCCTTATGTTTATATACATTCTCGGAAATATTGGTCACTTTACAGGTAGTTGCCATGAGAAGTTTCACTGAATTTTTATGCCGAAACACACCTAGAAATTTTGCCACGAGCATTTCACCCAATCTTGTATTTAAAATAAGTACAACAGGTTGACATGAAATTTCATTCAAAAACAGTTCTTAAGTTCTTTAAGTCTTTAAGTTCAGCTCTAGGAGGGATATTAAAATAATCTCTCTCACACTCACACACACAATTACATATATTTATCACATCATACATATTTGTAACGCCCTGATAAATTTTATCCTGCTAATAATTTTCAATTCAAATATAAACCATAAATCACTTGCAAGATTTCATTTTCATATAAATAATTGCATAAAGCATAAAATGAAACAAAGTAGAAATAAAATGAAGTAACTTTGTTGCTTACCTTTCACCAAAATTTAATTCTTTTAGATTTCATTACTTAATGGTAAACATTGTTTTGTTAAGTGCAATTCATATATCTTAATATCAACCAGTCAAAAGAATTCATTCAATGGAAAATTCCTTCAAATATCCTTTGTTGTTTTATGCAATATTCGAAAATATAAAAATTTTGCAGCTTGTTGCATTTATAGTGGTGAACTGAATTGTTTAACTTGTTATCTCACTCATATAAAAACCTTCACATTATTACATGGATTTAATTAAATGCAATAAAAAGTAAAAAATCTTTTTTAGCTAACAAAATATTCTTGGGATTATGAGACTAAAAATAAAACCAGGGGGCTGCTTCCAGTGCTTATTCATATTTATTTAATTAATTACAAATGCTTGGATTTTTGGTACTTAAACCAGTAGCTATTTATTATTGACACTTTATTGCTCTTTGAAAATTTATTAATGTTCTAATAGACTTCATGCATGGAAGTCCCATGATTAAAAAAAGGGTAAAGCTTTATTTTATTCAAAACCAGTGTAGAAGATTTCAAACAAAAATTGTCAAACAGACATTTAATTGAATTGATTATAATCATTTTTATGTTCTACGTCAATTTAGCCCTTTCCTTTCTATTGTTCCTCGAGATCCTGTAATGTCTTAATATAATTTTTATATGGGAGTTTCATGATTTTAGTTTTAGCCATATACTAGTAAAAATATTATAACAGTTAAAAACATTATTTTATCATTCAATTAGCTAAAACTATACAGTTACCCTGGCTAATGAGTTAGCTAAATTAGTTAGCTACATGATTGGTTTTTTCCCCAAGTGTAACATGAATACAAGCCAATTTCTGTTAGAAAAGTCTCCACAAAAGCACCTCTTCCCTTAGGCTTCCATTGTGTGCTTTGCCATTCAGAATAACCCAACATTTAAATTTCCATTTGCTTTAGATATTTGAATTTGCAAAATTATAGCACTGCTAACAATGAAGGATTAAATTTTTGATTTAAAATTCCAGACTATTAGCAATTGCACAACAACTCAAAGGAGTGAACAATTTTTGAAAAACTTACAAATTAAGTTAGAAAGTTTAAAAAAACTTTCATTTAAAAGATTGTTTTTATCTATCCAATAGAGCAGTGGTCTCAAATTCAAATTGCCTGTGGGCCACATGCATGATCTGAAAACAGCTAAAGGGTCAGATTTTTTTTTTAAACAAAATTAAAAGAATTTTATCTAAAATAAAACACATTTAAATCTGAAAGGTTTTAAATTTTAACAATTGTCCTAAAGGGTCTGTTAAGTGTTTTTATGCTTTCATTCAGCTTGAAATCTACAAGTCTGCTATTGCCCTCACCACTGATAACCCATTTGTTTTTACCTTTATTATTAAGTTTCTTATATCAATGTTCAATTTTCTTTAGTAAGATGGCAAAACTTTTTTTTTCTCTTTTTATTACTAACGTTTTGTGTGTTATGAAATCTCCACAGTGTTCTTTAATGAAGAGATGGGAATTAAAAAATGTAGATAAGTATTTATTAAATATCATGTTCTTCACACTTATGTCGCTTAAAATCCAATTCAACAATAAAATCACAAAATATTTTAAAAACAGCATATCTTATCTTTAAAATTTCCAGCAGTCTCATGAGCTGAAGATAAAAATGTTCATTCCATAAAATGTTGCAACTGTTCGCTTTCCAATTGCTGAGTTTGTTAATCAAAAATGAATTAAAGTTTTATAAAATATGAAATATAAAATTCAGACTTCCAGGTGAACATGTTTGGATAGAGAACCACCACATTCAAAATTTGACTGCTCTAAGTATCATCATTTTCCAACAATGTGAGGAACATATAATACCTACATACATGCAGGTTCTTCATTATTCAATTTCTTTAAAAATAATACAGGGCAGTAATATCTGGTGGAAAAAATTTGAAAAGTGATGCACCGTTTAGAGTGATTTAATGCAAAATCCCGTTTCAAGACTAATAAGCCATTTGGGCTATTAAATTAGAAATTTTTCTTACTAAGAAGTTTTCAAAACATACATACACAATAATAATAATATTATTGCAAAGGACAAAAGTGAAATTTGTATTTATTTTCTATCTGAAATCTAAAATCTGGTACCAGCAAGAGAGTTTTATTGGTTAAACTCTGTAATTCAAATATATTTATAATAAATGAAATAAATATTAGGTTTTCAGACTGATGTTTATTTAAAGCAGTTCTAACATGATTAATTAACAAAAAATTATTTATTTATATTAAAATACTACTATATTAATTTATACTAAAAATTATGAATTTTTTTAACTTTCTAGAAAAAAATTTCCCCAAGTAGGAGAAAACTTGAGAATAAATAATGAGTCTCTTTCTCTTATTTATTATTTTTCCTTTGATGCATAAATAAATACACACATGTTTGCACATAAAAAATTATAAACTTTATTTCTTGCTGCAGCTTGACACTTCATGGCATTTTGATTTTAATAAAGCTTGTAGCATAGAAGAAAAATTACTAGAAATATTTTCATCATGAATTGTAGATGTTCATCAGTCTTTTTTTTTTTTTTTTTTAATTAATTTTCAACTGTGAAAAAGAGCTGTTCACATACGAATGTATTTCTGAACAAAGAGACTCTTCTCAGTGCAAAAATTCATAACTTATATTATTACTGTTAATTCATAACTTAATTAACTTACATTACTATTGTTAATTATTTATTTTGGGAACAAGTATAAATAAAAGTTAATAAAATCTGTATCGCTAAATCTTTGAATGAGATTTATATCACACTGTAAATTAGTTAACACCATTAAGATTTTTAGATGCCTTATTCACGTTAATTTTTAATAGTTAATTTTTAATAGTAATATTAACTCATACTTTTAAATAATTAAAATCTTGAAACTTTGTAACATTGTATTTAAACAAATTCATAATTGAATTGTCTTCATGGGCCATATAAAATTGCTTTGGAGGTGTCATGCGGCCCACAGGCTGCCAATCTGTGACCACTGTGATACAGAAAAGATTAAAATTTTGTGATGGTTAGTTCAACCATTAAAGAAAAATATTTGAGAACATTACTTTAAACATAAAATACCTACACGAAATTTTGAAAAGGAATTGTACTGTCACTGCAAATACATATGTGCTTATAAAGTTTGGTGTAATCACAAAGTGGTGATCTTTTTTAAATATTAACCAAATAAAACATATAGAGTGATCGAGAATTTGTTGCAAATGCAAAGGCTCTGTTGCTTTACAATGCACTAAAAAAACCCTTTGGAAAGCAATATCGCTGGTAAAACGTATATAAATTGAAAGAAAACTAATGCAAGTTGTAAACATTCTTACAATTCACTAGCGGGAAGAACAAATGAACAAGAGGAGGAAGGAATTATACAGCCCAGCATATTTGGAAAGCAAAACATACTTTTTTACAGGGAAGACCATAACAGTTAATAACAGCACATGTTTCAAAGCACTTCTTTCTGAGAAATGAGGCTGTGAAGAAATTAAGAAAACTTTTCATTTGCTCCTTAAACTGTACATTTAGCCAGCAGAAATATAGCTTTAATCATTAACATATTAATTTCATACAAACAAGTTAAAATAAACTGAACAAAAAATTAACTGATTTTTTTTGTTATTCTTGACAATTATTATATTAATTATTACTAAAAAATCACCATTTTAAAATTAAAATGAATGTATTTTTTACACATCTTAAGAAACATTGATACAAGGCATAGGTTTATACATCTTAAGAAACATTGATACAAGGCATAGTTTTACACTTTCATAATTCATCATGAAACTTTAGTCCAATCCACCAGTCTGCAAGACTGTTAACTTGTTGCCAATCTACTAAAAACCACCAATTTTCAATATACTTTGATTTATGATTATGTAGCTTCATAATATAAGCATGTTCCCATATATCTATTCCAAGGATAGGGAAAAGACCAGAACTTAATGGTGAATCTTCATTATTTGCTACTGTTATCACCAAATCTCCAGAACTCTCCACAGTACTATAGTTCCTGCAAAGCCATACAAAACCTTAAAAACAAAAATAAAATTTATATTAGTAAAGACAAAATAAGACCAAAAAGTACTGATCATTGATAAATTAATTAAATTCCAAATTTTTAACACAACATGGATGCATACTATTAAAATTACATTAATGTATTCTCATTAAAGATAACACATCATGCGATTAGCAATAGGTTCATTGACCAATGGGTTAATGTAGCTTTAAGCATGTGGAATTTAATCTCTAATCTTTCCACTTTTGCCTAGACTGTACCTGAATAACAGAAAATTACATTCTGTCCAATGAACCATTTGCCCATTTTTCACATTTAATCATATATATAAATATATAAAGGATGCTAACTATCATGTAATATTTAATTTGTTTTGCTCTTTTTAGTACATATTTATATGATATAGTTATTTGCATTTCTCAGAAAAAGGTTTAATACTGAAAAATTAAAGATTTTAGTTATAAGATTTATTCTCGTTAAAATAATTAGCAAGAAAGGTCCTTGTTGATCTACAGGCTTCCGTAACAACCCACACTATCCACAATAAAATTACTTAAGGACAAAATTTGTTTCAAAATATCGACGTGGAGAAAAATATTCATTTTCAAAAATAAGATGCAAGATATAAAAATTAAATTTCTTTTCAGGAAAGGTTCAGAACATGAATCAGAAAAAAAATCAAAATTAAATTTCCACAAACTTACAGAAAAACGTTCATAGCTAGAATCACCACTTTATCAATTTCCTCATCTACATCTGGCAAACTATCATAAGCCTCCTGGCCTAGTTAAGTATTCTGACCCATCTCCAATTTCCCTTAATCTATTTTCACATTCCAGTATCAATTGAATCAGAATTAAAAGTTTCATGAATCAAAACATAACAAGCACAGCAAGTAACCACAATTCAGAGATTATAAAAAGTACACACATGACAAATATATAATTAAATAAGTATTTCACTTTTAAATTATATAATACATAACATTACCAAAATGCAAAAAACATAAATATTTATATAAATCACAAAATTATTATCCACTTTTGAATCAGAGCAAATTACACATGAGCATTATCCAGTCTTGGATCAGAGCAACTTACACGTGAAGACAAAATTACTTTTAGTACTTCCTAACTGCAAATATTGAAGATTTTCTGATCAAATGGAACTAAAACAGAATAATAAATATAACAATGAACTACTGCAAAGTTAAAGCTTACTATATAAGTTTGGGCATAACATCCCACACACAGTGCTCAGGATGACAGTTACTAACAAGTTACTAACTTTAGTGTTATTAACTTCTGGGGCACAATAAGATCATGCAACAGCATCAACATAAGTATTATTTAACACAAGCTATGCTAATTGTTTTCTGAGTTTTCAAAGGAGTTGACCTACCAAACTACTGTCATTAAAGCTACTTTTAAAATCATGTACCTAAACTATGCTCAGAATTAAAAAGAAAAAAAAATTAAAACTAAAAATATAAACCATTCTTGTGAGGTGACAAGATTCCAATTGTTTTTAATTCCATTGCTAGTAAATTCCAGAAGCATGGTGAGTTCAATTGTGAAGGCTTAATATGTGTGCTAGAAGGTTTCAAACGCAGTTTTTAAATGACAAAAGCGAGAAGGGTGTAAGCAGTGACAGCAATGATTTAAATCCGATATTCTAGTTCTTTAAATGACAAGATATGTGTTAAAATCAAAGATTAAGATAACTTTAGATTTTTAAAAATATTTTAATAGCTAAATATAAAAAATAGAGGTACAAGGCTAGGAAGTATTTATATGTCAATCTACTCTCAAGCATAAATCTGATAATGAGTGGAATGCAGTAGCACTGCTTAATGTGATCTCATTTTGTCCATGATTATTTTGTTAACGTTAAATGATGAGAAAAAATAACCTTCAAAATAGCAATAGAATGTAACTAATTTCATATAACTAGAAACACATAAATAAGCATTTTTCAGAATTTTAACTGGGAAAATGCAGAATTTTGTTTATGAACTGTTTATAATGTCATTCATGCAAAAGTTCATTTATGAACGGTTCATAACGCTTTTTAAAATTTTTTGACCAATGCTATGCCCCTAATACTTGGAGATGGTTCATAACGCTTTTTAAAATTTTTTGACCAATGCTATGCCCCTAATACTTGGAGGACATTTCCATCACAGGAAGAGGTTAAATTTAAAATTGCTATGTTAAATTTTAAATTAAGGGGGGGGGAAACCTTAGTTTGATGTAGATGTTTTTTAAGGAACTTTTGCAGATTTTTTTCCCCCTCCTAAAGAATTTGATTGGTCTCAAAATCGATAGTTATTCAAAATTTATATCAAACTAAGGCTGCTTCTCAAACTAATTTTAAATGGTTGGCTGAAACTGAAACAAGCTGTTTGGTGACATAATCCTTTATTTGGTGATATTTCTCTGTCATTTGGCAATTTTTATTACCTATTTCACTTTATTTGGCAACTTTACTTCAGTTAAAGGAATTTATTCTAAAGCATTTTGAGCGTATTAATCGACTTGTTGATCAAAATAAGTGATGGAATTTCCATTTTTTTCATATATACATGGGTGGGAGACTTCGGCTATTCATTAACAATATCCAAATAATAACATTAAAAGTTATCACATTAAGCAGCATCTACTATAATTCAAAATGCATGGTGCATGATCGAAGTAAATACATTGTAGAAGCACCATCCAATATAGAACATCAAGTAGATGATTTTCTTTTCATGTTACAAATGCATCATTTTGTAGCATAGGAAACGTCAATGTCATATGGACATGCTGTATACTGGATATATCCATCTAAAAGTGACTTAAATGGCAAATTATTAAATGATGTGTATGAAGAACCAATAGAGAAAAGCAGTAAAGCTTCAATTAACAAAACAGTATATAGGATGTTAGATGGTCGGTAAAATATCCACAATTTCACCAGAAATCAGCACATATATTTGGAAAATAAATAGAACTGTACTTCTAGTGAATATTACAGATACATCATTAATACCATACACAAGTGAATCCCAGCTGTTGATGCCATTAATAAAGTGGAAAGCAAATTTAAATGTAAAATTCATAGCTTAGTAACCAATAATGCAGCAAACAAATGAGAAAACAATTCACATGTATTTAATTTATTGACCTAAGATTTAAATATATCAAATGATACTCAGCATGTTATTGAAATCATATAATACTTCTGAATCACCAGTTTGCATAGGCCAAATTCAATTATACAATGGAACTGGTTTAAACATACCTTCTAAAGAACAATGGAACTCAGTATGCAATTCCCCTAGAACAAATATAAAAGAATTGCACAATATTTAGTTTTGTGTTTCTCAAGTAAAATAATATGTGGACATATATATATCTTTTGCAATACACAAGGTCTTCAGTTTGTTGGCCAGGGACATAAATAAAGCTTCTCAACTGGACTGCATCAACAGAACTAACTTCCTACTTAGCTATGTGGAAGTATATTTTCCTGATTGGCTTATGTGGTCATTTCATTTTTCTCCTTTACTCCTTAAGCCTTCGAGAGCATTACGGGTTTGACCATAAAATTTCAAAATTATCCAGACTATCATTAATAAGTTGTATGCATTTGATTATAATTCCAAAATGGCCTTTTCACTTTGTACCTTGAATCTTTTCTTTGAATATACATCCAACTCGAAATCAGATACATCACGAGTTTGCATAAATTTCCATGTGTAAAGAACTGGAAAGTCATCTTTCTGTATGTGATTAACATCCATAACACTTTGAGAGTTAAAGTAGATTGTCTATGATATGAATGTAGTCTTTCAAATTCATATTACCTATCACTTATTTTCAGTTCAATGTAGATATTCCCTTGCTCACCACCTTCGCCCCCTCTATACATTTTTTTTTTTGTTATTCTCTTCCCTAACATATAATGGTATGTAACATTGCATAAAATATGCAATGTTACATACAACAAGGCTCTTTTCATACTAGAATTACCTAAAGCAACTGGAAAAGAATCAGCTGTAATATGCATGTATGGATTATATTATGGTAACATTGTATCATACAAATGATGGGAAAGAATTGAGATGCAATAACCATGACTATTGGGTAAAAAATTCTTAATGTAGCAAGTCAAACAAAATACAAAGATCTTTTACTCAATCAAAAGCCAGTTTCAGTTGCTTTGGACAAAAAATCTAGAAGGTTAATTGAAGTATTGCCGAAGCTGTTCAAGTTTGAAATGATCTAGAAGACAGCTTAAAAATCTTGGTAAATTATGCATAAAATTATTTAGAATACAGTATGAACAAGTACTGTACTAAACACTGTTTTAAGAGAGATTTTATTAAGACACAATAACATGCCGAATAAATACTAATTCAGAAGTCAAACAACAAAAATCAGTGTTATATTTACAGAATTTTCACAGGACTAGTTTCGATGGTTTTACCGAACCACCATCCTCAGCTGCAAGACCGCAAATGAACAAAATAGGAAATAATGATTAGATAAGATAAGAAAGCCTGGACAAGAATAAGCAAGTGGCGCCATCTGTTCGTGAAACCAGAACTAAAACATAATTTCTTTAAAGGCCGAAGGCAAATTTGGATTGGAATTAGGATTGTTAACTAGAACAGAAAGATTTTATGAATGTGAAATGCCTCTAGAAAATCCAGTTCTCCAATGGAAGATGTTTTTCGAATAATTTTGGCAGCAGAAAAATTGAAAGTGTGGTTTTCGGACCAACAATGTTGAGCAACAGAAGACTTCTGTGTTTCCTTTTTTCTAACATATGCCTCATGTTCCTTGACGCGAAATTTTAAGGCTCTCTTAGTTTGGCCAATGTAAATTAAACCACACTGGCAAGGAATCCTATAAATACACCAGGAATTCATATCCGGAATGGGGTCCTTGAGTATGGAACTCGGAATTTTATTGATGGGAGAATAAACAACCCGAAAGTTAAATTTCTGCAAAATATGTGCAA